TCAGTTTTTTCCATTTCTGGTCCTACTTAAGTGGTCTTAAAATTAGCCACAGTGGTGAATGAATTAACTGCTTATTCCAATGTGATCTGAAAAGATAGAGTGCTCTGGGCAAACCACATGTGGACACCCCTTTGCTCTCTGCTTGGTAATGTATACCTCCTAAGCAATAGCATGTTTAAACTATCCAAATTCCCAATGACCTTCTATCCGGGGCCTATGGAGTTTAACATTTCTTACTTCCAAGCTGAAGATGTAACATTCCCACACCTCCTGTCTCCCTATTTTATTTATCACATCCATGCTTTTACTTAACGTTTTGATGTTAATAATAATATGAGTGATTTTTAAGTCCAACACTGCTTACACGCGGTACTGTTTTAGATTTACTTTAACACTTAGTGTTGGCCTTAGACATATATTATCTGAACAGCTAAAAGATTTTCTAAATTGCATACCTTTTAGAATGAGCTATCAAATATTTTAAACAAAAATGAAAGGTTACTAAATAAAATGGTGACAGAAATGCAGATGATTTTTAAAAGTTTTTTACTTACCAAGTCATAGACCCTGGAAATAAAATTAATTCCAATCAGTGGCTGGTAAATAGCCCTGATCCCATCAGACAGCATTTATTTTCTACACTACTGACTTTTTATGTTTAGAAATTGTTTCAAATTGTGCTCAAACTAAACATTCACCATAATTTCAGAATTTTAGATAAGACCTACATTTGTAAGACATATAACCCAACACTTTTCTACTTCAACCATTCCATTGTGAAAATAAAAAGAGAACTTTTATTATTTAATTATGTGAATTGTATTTTATAAGATTTATGAAGCAGCACAAGACTGCATAAGATTGAGGACTGTTTTATATTTTTTTTGGACAGAAGATGCTAAGAATAACATCATTTTTAGACCATCTATACTAGTAAGTTAACTGTTGGTAGTCAAAATAAGAGATCTTTACGAAATGATGATTGATATGCTATAGCAACTGATTTTTATAAATCTTTAAACCAGAAGCTTCTTAATATTTAATACTGTATTTGTGTTGTTAACGTGCATATGAGTATATAGCTCGCAATAACTTGCTGTTCTGGATTTGTAACTGAGAAATTAAAGAGAAGCCCTTTAATTAATCCTGCTATTCCCTTAAGTAAAATGTCCTATCACTCACCTCTCTTTCATTATCATACTTCTACAAAAGTAGCTTCTGTTGATTCACTACCTCCACTTACCCCCTATAAACTCTCAGCAATTTCTTTCTCCATGTATTTCTTAGAAAGTTTCACTGGCTCTCTCCTTTATCCTTATGGTATTTTGACCTTGCATTATGCTTATTTGGGTACATACAATCTTCTCCTCCCCACTCCCACCAATTACCACAGTACCAATGAATGTGTGTTGAATTTAGTGGAATGGTGGTGACATCACAAGAAAGAAGAATTGGGGGAGGGGTAGTGGAAAATGATAAGTTCAATCAGTAAGTCAGTAAGTATTTATTAAGCACTTACTATTAGTCAAGCACTGTACTAAGTCCTAAGGATAGTAAGAAGGTAAAAACAGTTTCTGCCCCAGTGGTATGCTGAAATCAGCTCTAACCACTTTAGTGTAAGCATTTGCTCCTCAAAAATCAAAATCACTATAAATCAGGGTTTGATTTATTGTTTTATGAAACAATGAAAGTGTTAATACTGCAAATTGGGGTGCATGAGGTGTTCAAAGAACACTAGCATTTCTGGTATGAGAGTTTGCCAAACCTTTTTCAAGGCTGTTCATCCACCTTTGGTATCCACCTTCACTAAACTCTCATCTGTGGGCTCTAAGGATCTGTAGCATATGCAGCAGGCACACAGTAAAACCATCCTGGCAGTTGGGCTAAACCAGGTGGAGCATAACTGAAGGGCCTCAACCTGTGGGCGAGTTAGGGGAATGGCTACCTCAAGCATGTGAAGACTTTCCTAGAAGGTCCATGGAGGCATCTGAAGAAGGTGCTGTGGAGTGCATAGAGCTTGGTCAGACATCAAAGATGCCAAGATCAGCCACTGCCTCCTGGACCATCACCAGTCATCCTGACTTTGATGATTTTGGAAGAAAGAATGAGGCTGATGAATTTATGCAACTCTGCCTCACTTAAATCCAATTCACATATGATTGGTCCTCTTCAAAATGAAGGACAAATAACAATGCAAATTAAATATAAAATACTGTCTGCATACATTCCCCTCCTTCCTCAGCCTGGTTATTAAATATTTATTAGCACACTCCTGTACTGCTCTATCAATAGTGATTGAACTCAGCAGCAGTACAGTAGAGGGCTCAGGGAATGAAGTCATCACTAGAATGGAGGCTTGGTGACTGTAGGTTAACAATAATAATTTATGTAGCACTTTAGGGTTTTTGAAGTAGTTTACATCCATTATCTCATTTGAGCTGTATTTACAACACTCCTGCCCTGCCTTCAAAGAGCTTATAGTTTCACAGAGAAAAAAAAAGCAAGTATAAAAAAGGTAAGGTACATAAAAAGTAGCTTGCTTTTAGACATATCAATCGAATTAGAATTCTAATTTAATCTAATCTAATTCCAATCTAATAATTGGTGTTTATTCCTATACTCTCTACCATTCCCAGTGCATCCTTCAAAACATTCATTATCTACACTGCATATTTCACCAACCAATCAATATTAATATGCCTAGAGAAACTAATTTGCCCAAGGTCATCCAGTTACAGCAGGTAGAGCCAGGATTCAAACGTATGTCTTCTGTTTCTACGTCCATTGATCTTTCTAATACATTGCACTTCCTCCATGACCATTCTTTTTTGAGCCTGTATCTCCTAATCCCACCCAGGCTAGAAGTAGAGCCAGGTTCCATCCCAATACTGATTGTCAAGGAAGCTTTAACCTGCTCCATTCTTTCTGATCTGGACTGGTTCATGCCTCCTTAGGCAGCCTGGTGGCCTGCTGCTCCTAGAGACTCCCCCTATTGGTGCTGAACTTGGCGTAGACACTTGGTTGGCTTTATCCATAATGCAGCTAAGAACTCCTGAGCCTAACCAGTCCGCCAGCCTTAACCTCCCCAGCGGGAAGGAATAGATGTGATTCATCACTACTCTTGGCTGTACTTCTTTTATTCTATCTTGTATCCTAATTATTTGTGTCTATGTCTTATCTTCCTTCTGTACTATTAGGTCCTTGATAGCAAGGGCTTTGTCTTTATATTCCCAGAAGAGTTCCTTAAACATAATAGATGTTTAATAGATATTTAATGTTTGATTGTGTTATTGCAGTAGTCCATTGGCCTATAAGGTTAGAGGAGTTATTTTCTTTCTTTCTTTCTTTTTTTTTTTTAGCATAGATAAAATGCATATTATAAAAGTACATGGACTCTCTGTAAGGCAAACATAATTTTCACGGGCCCCATGGTTTTAGGGTTGGGAGAAGGTACATGTCGTTGATGCTAGACAGTGCCTCAGAAAGTTGTTCTGTCAGCTGGTGCAGAAAAAAGACCCGAAGTTTACAAACATGTGACCAATTCACATATTTCCCTAGTGCTTAGCTCAGTACCCTACATTCTTCTAGATGACTGCTTAGTGCTGGTCAATTTAACTATGTTTGGGCCATTAACATTAATGTTCATTGAAAGATTACTGAGGCTCTCTGTATATATTTCAAATTAGCTCATCAAATACTAAGTACCAACCACTGTGGCCGTATGCCCAAACTGTGCAACGTGATACGTAAGGGATATATTCTTTGCCTTTAAAGATTGTGATCTTGCCTGGAGTGAGGGTGGGGGTAGGGAGCTAGGTACTTCATAAATGTTGAATATAATTGTTGACTGTAATCAAATTGAATTATACCTTTCTTCCGAGAAGGCATGTTCACTTCTCTCTGAGGAAACCCTTGATGTTCAGTTAAACCAAACAACCTGTGTAAAATTTCCATAGACATGAAGGCACACAGTAATTTATCCAGGGTCCTGTAATCATTTCAGGATAGGTGCTGGTTTTTATCATTTATCTTCTAAGAATACTAAATAGGAAGAAATGATATACATGCTAATCAACCTTTGAGACTGATGAAGTATTTGGGGGAGATTTTAACGGTCAATTCTCTCTCTCTTTAGATAAAACTACATGAAATTTAGATAAAATTAATTTATCCCTTTAGATAAAATTAAATGAGTGAAAAATTCAGCAATTCAGTGTTGTGTGTGTGTGTGTATGTGTGTGTGTGTGTATGTATATGTTTTGTCTTGCAATAAATTATTGTAAGAGGAAAAGCCCTGGTGTGACAGGCTAATGGAATTTGAACCAGCAATCATATTTTTTTAGGTCTTCACAAGTGCAAGTTTCGGATAGGGACTATTACATTCTATTAGTATTGTATTATTTACACTCAACACACATTTTATTAAATGCCTACTATTATTAAGTTGCTGTGCTAGATACTCTGAAGATAAATATGAAAGGGACCCTGCCCTCAAGGAATGTATTATATTGCTAGGGATGCAATATATACAAATAAGTAAATACAAGGACGTTTGAGTGAAGGTCAGCACTGAAAATGGGAGGGGGAAGAATTGGGGAAATCTAGAAAGATTTCATGTGGGAGGCAACCTCTGAGCTGGACTTAAAAGAAGTGAAGGATTATAAGAGCTAGAAGTGAGTAGTTTGTGAATTCCAGGTGCAAGAGAAGATAATTGAACCTTTTTTAAATTTTCACTCCTTGTTGTTTATTACATTAGAAGCAAAGTAAAAGGAACAAAGGAGAATAAATTTGTCTATAAAGAATATTCTTAACTTCAGCTGTTTGATGGACCCTCTGGGTTAGGCACTAATAAGCCTTTGGGACCAATGTAGTATTTGGAGAGATTTTAGTGGGGAATTCTCTCCCAAGAGGAAACAAATTAAGTGGAAATGGAAAAAAAAACAACAATCCTGCATCTTTCATGCTTTTTTTTTTCTTATAATAAATTCTCTTCATTATAGGTTCTTATACCTTTGTTCCTTGGCTTCTCAGTTTTAAAAGAGGAAAAGCCCTAGAAGAAAAAGAAAATAAAATACTTGTCAAAGAAACTGGTTACTTTTTCATCTATGGCCAGGTATTTCCATGGATAATTTTATGTCCAGTTTTGTATGCTTATGATTTTCTACCTGAATGTCTAAAGACTTTATTTTTTTGTTTCTCAGGTTCTGTACACAGATACCACCTTTGCTATGGGACATCTTATACAGAGGAAAAAGGTCCATGTTTTTGGGGATGAACTGAGTTTGGTGACTTTGTTCCGGTGTATCCAAAACATGCCAACAACTCTCCCTAATAATTCCTGTTATACGGCTGGTAAATGTTGGCTCTCAAATCTGATTACTGGGCATTAAAACAAAGTCTACTAATAGCAGCTAATGTATGACCAGGACACAACTGAAGCTCCTCCTTTATGATGATTTGATGGAAATTTTTCCTTTTAGTAATTACATTTAACTTTAGGCATATTTATTGAGATATGTATGAAAATGAGAGTATAAAATTTGTCTTAAGGTCTATGTGGCATTTAAAAAATAAATTCTATTGAAATCTTTTGTTTTTTATATTATATTGCATTTCCCAATATGTATTCTTTCCCTTCTCACAAAACTATGGCTTATACCAAAGAATAAAAAAGAAAAAAAGTTTGATGAAACTAATATCAAAAATTTCTGTCATCATGTATAGGGTTCCACACCCGTAGAATCAACTTCTGCTAAGAAGTAAAAGGAAGTAACTTTTCATATTTCTTCTTTCGACTTAAGCTTGGTCACTGTAATTTCACACCATTCAGCATTTTTTTTTATTATTGTTCTTTTCCATTTACATTGTTTTGGTTATTGTGTCTATCGGTTTCTTGGTTCTATTTTTTTTCTTTTTACATCAGTTCATATGTCTTCCTATGCTTCTCTGTATTACTATATCAATTGTTTCTCAAAGGGAAGTAATCATTCCATTATATTATTGTATTACAAGTTGTTTAGTCAATCAGTGGGCCCTTACTTTGTTTCTAGTTCTTTGCTACCAAAAAAAGATAGATGATAGAAATATATTGGTATATATGGGATCCTTTTTATTATTGGCATCCTTGAGTTGTACACTGAGATCTCTTTTCATAATCCCAAATTGTTTTCCAAAACGATTAAAGCAGATTACAACTCCACCAACAATGTATCCTATGTGCTAGTCTTCTCTGAATCTGTTCAAAGTTAATTATTCCCATCGTTTGTTATCTTTGCTAATTTGCTGTGTATGAAATGAAAATTCAGAGTTGTTTTGCAACACTTCTTGGAAGGAATGCAGTAAATTTGAGATCCAAAACTCTTTGTGTAATTTTTGCCATTTACAGAATCTCAGGGTTGGACCTAAGAGGTCAGTTCATGCCTGAATAGTAGTCCCTTTGCTAGCATCTGGATGATTAAATTTTTTTTAATGAAAGTCCTTATTTCATGTTCTCTGTTTTTTCTTTATTAAAAACATTGAAGGCTATCATAATTGTTTTAATATACTATTAGGAAATGAAAAAAAATAAGCATTTATTAAGTGCTTAAAACTGCTAGGCACTGTGCTAACTGCTTTACAAATGTTATCTCATCTCATCCTCACAGCGACACTGTGAGGTAGGCACAATTATTATCTCCATTTTGTAGTTGAGAAAACTGAGACAGACAGATATGAAGTGACTTGCCCAGGGTCACATAGCTAGTAATATTTGAGACTGGATTTGAACTCAAATTTTCTAGCCTAGCATGCTATCCAGCTGCCTCTAATGATGAAATGAAAAAGTAGGCTTACTTTTTAGAAATATGGGGGGGGGACAGGAATCTAGTAGCTTTTTAAAAAAGTCAATAAAATAAAATACTTCAGTTCATGGTTAAGAAGCTGAGATCATTTGGGGAACCATTGTCAGAGAACACACAGTAGGCAGCATGAAGAAGTACATTAAAATGGAATCACTTAATCACTTAAAAAACTGCCAAAAAATAAGAAATGTAACTGATAATCTGGTAACTATTGACCCCATGTGCTTTAATATTGCTAACCATCCTTAATAGCAAACTCCTTTTGATTAGTTAGTACTTTGTCATATTTATGAACTCTTTGAGGTCCACAGAATACCATTTCTTTTTATCATAGCATTTATTTCTAAAACAATTATTGTTATTCCTTATTTTTGTATTACAGTTGTTACCAGATATACCACTTTCTCTATAACAAAGACCAATAAAAATAGTTATGCAAACCTCATCTGAAGCCTGTAGTCCCCCATTGTGGCAATGGAAGGTCGGAGATTCATTTGCTCATCTCTTTTCTGGGCCAAGATGAGCTATTGTAATTACTCAGCATTCTGCTTTATTTGATTTTTTTTTATCATTTACATTTCTGTAAGTCATGTGGGTTTTTTCCTGGTTCTGGTTCCTTATTTCCTTTGCATCTGTTCATACAATATTTCATTACTTCTAGAAATTACTCATAATTGCTATTTTTTCTTATAACACAATGATTACATTTTATTACAGCTTTCTACCAGAATTTCCTTAGCCATTCCTCAGTTGTTGGGTATCTACTTTGCTTCTTGTTCTTTGCTTCCATAAAAAATGCTACAGATGCGAATGTTTTGCCATAAATGAGACATTTCTATCTTTGACTTCCTTTGATTGTGTATCTTGCAGTGTGATCTCTGAGACAAAAGACATGGACATTTTAGTCTCCTTTCCACCCATAATTTCAAATTATTTTTTAGGATGGTTGGATCAATGCACAGTCCTACCACAATCCAATCTGTCATCCCACAGAAACTCAACACTGTTCCCATTTTTGTCATCTTTGTCAATTTGGTGTCAGGTGAAACCTCAGAGTTATTTTAATTTATATTTTTCTTGTTATATGTGATTTAGATCAGTCTTTCATAGTTTGTAATTCTTCTGATAAATGTTTATTCATTTCTTTTGATTACTTATCTGTTGGGTAGTATGTCTTAGGTTACACATCTGTGTTAATTCCTAACATATTTGGATATCTGAAATTTATTAGAATCATTTAATGCAAAATGCTTTAATCCTAATCTTAGTTTCCATTTTTATCTTAGCTGCATTAATTTCATTTGTGCAAAACTTTTTAAATTTCATATGTCCAAACTATCTATTTTATCTTTTATTATCTATCCTATTTTTTTTATTGAGAATTCTCCTTCTTGCCATAATTTTGAAAGTTACCTTCCCCCTTTCCTTTTCTTCCATTTTTCTTCTTAAATGACCTTTAACATTTAGGTTGAATACCCATTTTGAACTTACTATGTTATGTGGCATAATATGCAGATATAATCCTTTTTTTTTTTACCACTCTGCTTTACCAATCTTGCTTTACTTCATTTTAGTTCTAATTGAACTGAGATATTTGTTCCATTAAGACATTAGGCTTCTCTGTCCTAGGAAACAAATTTGTTGACCTATTCCCTATAATATTAAACTATTATCACTCAGGGGTGTCCTTAATATTGAGATTTAGATCTCAACTACGAGGAGGAAGGTAGGTGGAAGAAGGGATAGAGAAGTAAAAAATTGCATATAGCCAATCTCTTAATTCCATCTTCCTTTCCCTCCCTACTGTCACCATCTCTTCCCTAAAGAGGACATAACCTTTTCTTTTCTAAACACAGTTGGCATATATACCTATGTAAAATAACTTTACTAAAAGATTTATAGTGTAGTCTATAAATTTTAAGGATTAAAGCATTATTATTTTATGTTATATGTTATTGTAATATATATTAATTATAGCATTGAAAGTAATGTTTGTCATGTAATTTTATAATTATTTTTATTTGTTCCTATTTATTAAGATAACCTATAGTTAAACAAAAATAATCTTTGTGGATAATTGATTTATTTAGTCTCTGTCCATTTGTCTTTTATAATCAATCATCAAAGAAGTAATTTGGCGAAGACAGCGAATGATGGGATTATTTAACTTTCAAAATGTGCATTTATCTGTCTTAGTTGTTCCTCAATTTGGAAAGGATTTTTTGTTTGTTTCTTTAAAGTATATGCAATGCATTAAAAAGTTAGCTTATTTACTTTTGAAGTTTGCAGAATCTTGCTAATAGTTTTTTCCCCCAAATGAATTGTACCCACTTTGATTTTAGGTTAGATTCTACTTAGTTGAAATTTGTCTGAATTACAAAGTAATGACTAGTAGGCAAATCCATTTCAGCTTCTATTTAAAGTGTTCAAATTAAATGAAGATTGTTTTTCTCAGCTTTTTGCATAACCACTTAAAGTTCTTCTGAATTGTTTTCCCAGGCATTGCAAAGCTAGAAGAAGGGGATGAACTTCAACTTGCTATACCTCGTCAGGATGCCAAAATATCCCAGGATGGAGATGGCACTTTTTTTGGTGCACTGAAGCTGCTCTGACACACTCATTAGCACTGTGTTTGGGGCTATTTCCTTCTCTTTTTCTATACCTCTTGGGAGGGGGGAGGGGAACTGGAACTACCCAAATTGGTTATATTAGTCTTTTCTATGAGCCATTTGTCTTGGTTTGATGAATCCAGACCCAAACAGGAAACCCAGCAAACAACCACAGCTGAATTACAGCCATATGAATGATGACAAATTTAGCCCATTTTAATAGAAAAGGAATTAGAATTTTTTTTTAACTTTGTTGGCATATTTTGTCCTTTGGTTATGTCTTTATATTCAGGATGTCACATTAACTTAAAAGGGACAGTGAGGATTCATTCAAATGTCACATTCCATAGTTTCATAAAACAAAGAGGTGTCAAAAAATGTTGTCATTGATAAGAATAACATAGAAGTTACTTTTTATGTTTGTGTCTATTGGACCATTTTTCTACCTAATGTTACATAAGATAAGACATTACCAAAATAAAATTATATCTATGAAACAAAAACAAAAGCAAAATGTAAGGGGTCAACAAGTATAATGGCATGTTATTAAAGAATTTTGCTCAAGATACTGTCTTGGGAGTATTAGAGCTTTGACTTGTATCATGTTACATTTATCTTTATATTTAGTTTTCTGAATTACTTGATGACAGGCAAACTTCTCATAAGAAGGAAACAAAAAAAATAAGTATGAAGATGTATCAAAATCACCAGAGGAAATGAAAAGAAGTTAAACAATTTGGTACATGAGCTTGGACAGAATTCGGGAGATAGAGGAGGAAAGAAGGGCCTGGTGTACTATGGTCCATGGGGTCAAGAAGAGTTGGACATGATTGCACAGCTAAACAACAATAAGCATTCTGATGTGTAGTTTGGTTACAAATCACATCTAAAATTTGGATATATGTGCAACATGAACTGCACAAGTAATTGCAATTCCAATGACATAAGGAATGAGCAAACTCCATTAGTATAAGTTGATATCCATTTCTTATACTTGTTTCAAATTGCTTCTATTATAATTTACAAGTAAATTTACTGAAAATGTTGGCAATTAGCAGCCATAGCATTCTGGCATGTACAACTGATATGACTGATATATAACTGATCTTTAATTGTGGAATCTAGAAGCCAACATATCTCATGAGTTTTTTTTCCTTCAAGAACCAGCATTCATTGTAAAGAACTAATTAAATTGGTTAAGTCCCCAAATGGGAAGATTGCAAAAATAAGAAACTTCAGTTCCAACTTTGCATTATGTTTAAAATTAACTCCTACTCCCATTGTTTAAAGCTAAATGTTATAGTTGTCATTTAAAATTCAATGCATTTCCCCTTACAACACATGGACCATATCTAATGTGGAATTCTTGGTTGTATTTCTTATGTTGCTACTAAATAATTTAACTTTTTATTCCTCATTTTCCCTATACATATAACAGTCTGGCCTATACCAAGTATATTTGGTTTGTTGTTATGTGACTCCAAATAAATTTTTCATCTTCACAGTTACAAAACATTTCAAAATTGACATATATTCATATTTCAAAAATATTATCAAATCTGGATTTTTGTCTGTATTTGGAAATTATTGAATTCAGTACTATACTTGAAAGAGGCAACATGACATAATGCAAAGGAGGATGGCCCGAGTCAGAAAGACCTGTGTTCAAGTCCTTTTTCTGAAACATATTGGCTGTCAGCCCATGGGAAAGTCACTTAACCAGCAGTTAGCATAAGTAGTATTATTACTCTTTTGAAGATGAGGAAACTGGAGTTCAGAGAAATTAAATGATTCATCCACAGTCATTACAGTTAACACATTTTAGAGCCAGAATTTAAACTAACTCCTAGTGCAGTGCTTTGTCTTTGACACCTATCTTCACATAACCCTGATCATGAACAACCAAAGACATTGCAATAAAATATAAGTAGGATGGAAGAGGTAGAGAGTTGATCTCTGAGTTAGGGAGACCTGGCTTAAAGTCTGACCTTTGACACATAGTAGGCTGTGTGATTGTTTACAAGTCATTCAATCTTTTCACGCCCCTGGTAACTCTCTAGTTTATTAAGTTTGGGAACAATTGCATATACTTATTGGATGAGGAGGTTTCCTCACTGGGAGTTTCTATACCAATGAAATTACATATATGGACCAAAACTGGAAAAAAATTGCAGAGAAGTGGGAAGTACAGTGTATGTTTGGGGCTTAATAGTTCCTCTAGGTTTCCTGAAACATGGAGTACATGGAAAGGGATAGTATGAGTTAGCTCTAGAAAGAGAGGGTTGAGCTAAATTGAATGCCAGGATGAGGAGTTTGAACATTACTTGCCAGGTAATAGGATGCTATTGAATTATTTTTAAGCAGAGTATTGCCTAAATGTATCTATGCAAAGAAAATAATTTTGTTTGATATTCCACTGCACAACACAGTTTTCCAAAATAGCTTATTGTCCTGTCCTGGCTAAATTCTGATTTTTAAGGTACTACAACACATAGCTGCTCTGTGATGGACTAGAGAGGTTAATGCAGCTTCCAGTGATGCTTCATTTTATATAAGGGAGTAATGAATGTCTGGGAGAATATGTTTGAACATTTTAAGGTTCTTGGAAGTAGAGACCATCTTTTAAATGTGATTTCATATGTTAATAAAAGCATTCAAAATGGTTTTTTTTTCTGATTCTAATTCAAATAAATAAAATTTTGCACTATAGACTTCATTGCTCCAGTGTCTCTTTTTGCTATAATGAAATAATTGTAATAGCAACTACTATTTATATGCTGCTTTATGGTTTATGGAAATTTTCCCCACAATATTCTTTCAAGGTAGTGTACATAAGTATTATTAACCATTTTGCAAATGAGAAAGTTGAAGTTCATAGAAGTTAAATTATTTTTTTTTCACTTTCTCACAGCTAAGTGTTAGAAACAGAACTTTAACCCAAGTCTTCTGACTGTACATCCAATACTTCTCCTATGATATCACTCTTCAAATAACCCTGATGATTAACAACAAAAGACATTACCATAGTCCTAGAACATGGAGGGCACATGGCATAGTGGATAGAGAGCTAGTCACAGAATCAGGAAGATCTTGCTGCAAGTTTCTCCTCTGACAAAAGCCCTCAGCAACTCCCTTCACCTGACAACTCTGAGACTATGAGTTGCAGGACAATTTTGCATTGGTAGAGAGTTTTCTCCCTCGCTTCCTCCCAAGAAAACTTATATATCCATAAACCAAATATCTAAATCAAAAGAAAAAAAGGATATTTACATTATTCCACTAGCATATTAAATTTGTAGAGTTAGCCTTATTTTGTGATTGAAATTATTTTGTAAACTTGTATCATTGAATTCTCACAAAAATGCTTTACGAATACAGTATACATTTGTCTCTTAGGATAAGCAACAAAGTTATCTTTATTATCATAAAATATATATCATATTAGAAATGTCTGACTGGTCAATCTCAGAGATTTTCACTATGGATGACATTATGGAATGGCTAATACAATAGTGAACTGTTTGAGATGATTGAGCAAATTGAATCATCAATACCAATAAAAAGTTAGTTTGCACCTAGTTAAATAGATGATTAGCAACTACGCTGTGTGCTACATAGTTTTGAACAAGTTGTTTAAGTCTTTATTTTACTTTCCTCGTCTGAAAAAAATATGTCATAGTATGAAGTATTTCCATATACAGGCACTATACATTTGTAAAATGCATTTACCTCTAAAGAGCTGAGACAGTAAAAGTCTATGTCTTGTTAATTTGGTGTTATTATTCTTAGCCAATGTAGTAGTACGCTAATATAACCTACATGTCATGGCTCTCTATAAGATTTTCAGAGAAGATAGTGATTAGAAAATGAGGCCAAAGCATTTTTTTGACCACAATTAGAAAAGGATAAGTATCAAGTAACTATGTCAGGCCACCATGCAGGTGCTGGAAACAGATAACCCAGCAGGTGTGGTTTGTATTAGCAAATTTCCCCCATCAATGTATGATTTTTGGGAACTGTTACCACATGTCCATTAATAGGAAGTTCTGGTTATTTTCACTGGTCTTCCTTTCCATTTAATCCCATTGACATTCTATGTGATGAAATATTTGTGGTGGGTGTGGTGGCAGCAAAAGTGGAGGGTAGAGAGAAAAACTATAGGAGCAGGAAAAGTCTTATGAAAATTGAGTCAGTAATACTGGCTAGGCTTGTTGATATGTATGTCCGTGTTTTCTACAACTCCAAAATCAACAGCAAATATAGCACTAATTATATAAAATCCTCAGTGAAACCCACTTGAATAAGTCGGGAATAAAGTAATCAATGGTCAACACATCAGAATGAATACATAGTCTAATACACAAAGGCTATAATCTGTTTCCAAAGCCCTATTTCTTTGCCTTATGGAGATAATTTCTGGAATGAAATGAAGAGGCATCACAGTTTAATGGGAAGCTTACTAGTCCTAGGTTCAGAGGACCTGGGTTAAAAAACTATCTCTGTCCCCTACTATCTGTGTGACTCTGGACAACTTACAACCTTTCTGGGCCCTATTTTCTCATCTACAAAGTGAGAGGATTGGACTAAATGTCCCTAAAAATTACTTTCTTAAAGGACAAATCTGATTTTGTCACATCTCTGCTCAATATGCCCCAGTAGCTCTTCATCATTCCATGACCTGTCTCCATAGCTTTGTATTACTTGTCACTTAGAATGTATTCCTTTCTCATCTCTGTGAATTCGTAGTTTCCTTACAGGTTCTGCTGAAATGCCACTTTCTACATAAAGTATTTTCTGATCTCTCAGTATCTTCCCCCTCCCCCCACAAATTGTATTCTATTTTTTAAAATTTAATTTATATATGCCTATATATATATTCATATTGTCTCAAGAACAGTACTTTTTTTTTGGTATCCTTAAGGTCTAGCACAATACTTGGCACATAATAAGTACTTAATAAATGCTTATTGATTATTGGCTTGATTGACTTCAGATATCTCCCAAATCTAAATTTATGATCCCCTCCATTTTTTTCTCTATACTCTCTTGGTAACCTCATCAGCTCACATGAATTTAATTATTATCCCTGTTATCATTAATGCCCAACAAAAGTATATGCTATGTAAACACTAACTAACAAATTAATAAGAATGTGGGAAATTGGGGCAAGCAAAGTGATGTCACTTAAACATAAATGATTGAGTATTCTTCTTTGTGGTTCCACAAGCCTGGACACAATATTGTGGCATCTCAGTCTGGTTAAATGGCCTTTGCTAGCCTGCAGATCCCAGAGAATAGAGACAGTTTCTTTTTCCTAAGGTTTTCCAGTGCCAAGAAAAAGTTTGACTTGAGAAAGACAAAAATACTGTGGATGAGGTGAGGAGTGAATCCCATTACCTATCAGACCACAGGCTGCCTTAGCATAGCATTGCTACAGGTAATGGAACCTCATTCTGAGCCATTGATACAGAAGAAAATATGTTAAAATGAACAATAAGATGTGCATTGAGCAGAGAGAAACCACATGAGGGCAACATTCTAGGAAGGTATCTGGAAAGTCAGGAAGGACTTGAGGGGGTGGGAACAGTGTTAATTATTTCTCTATTACTCTCAAGTTTCTTTTTGGAAAAGTACCTTTTTTCCCCCTTACTGGCAGATTTCCTGAGGCACTGCCCAGTTCCATGTATCACACTCCTCCCCGTCCCTATACCCACAATGTCCAATCTTTGACAATTACCTTAAATTCACCATACCCATGGAAAGCTCTGTTTCTAGTTACCATAAGAGGACTTAAGAATTAAGAGGAAGGGAGAAAAGCAAGAAAGACAAAATCAGACTCAGGGTCATAGGAGACTAAGGAATTGTGCTTTAAAAGTTATTAGAATTGTTTCTTTTACTGGGTCTGTTTCTTCATTATTATTAGAATTCCTCATAAGGAAATTCCCTCTGCCAATATGGGATAAACATGTATTCTGCATTTCATAGTCTTAGAGATTTGCTTGAAGTATGGAGAGGTGCTTAGAGTTACAGCCAGTATGTGTCAAAAATGAGATGTGAACCCAAGAGCCCACCATGCCACACTGTCCCCCTCACTAAGTTGTGATTACAGGGTTATATTAACTCCACTATGAACCTTGGACAAACCCAGCAGTGAAAGGAAGCATTTGAATATTTATATCACTATGTGAAGTAGACCTCTTGGATATGTTTCATCCTGCCAACCCCAGTGGTAGTAAGCCGTTCCTAATTGGGGGACAGGGAGAATGAATAAGGAGGGGGAATCCATCCATCTGGTTACCTTCATGCAGGTAGATTCAATAAAGGTGCTGCTGCTTTGGCATGAAACTTGATGTTCAAATAGAAACTGCTAATGACAATTAAGAGGAAAAGTCTTTGTTGTCCAGCCTAACCACAGGTCTTGACTCAAGCCGATCAGCTTCTGCATTGACTGACTTCCTTCTATTTTTCCCACTTTCATTTTAAGTGTGCATGAAAACAAAAGTGTATGTGGTCAGCTGATTACTTCTTCTTCTGCTGTGTAACTCCTTAAGCAACCCGCAACTGGTGCCAGGGATAATTTCAGGGCTTATACAGTAGCAATGGTACCAGCTAATGAACAGGTGTTTCTGAGTCAATCCCCAGACATTTCCTTCAGAGCTCTGTAGTTGCTGAGATAACGGTTCTAAATGAACAACCAACTGAGATGTCTAGACAGCCCCAAACACTTTCATATGGCCTTTGAGGCCTGGTCTCAAGACTGCATGTACACTTAAAATTCCACTGAATTGTTTTTGTGTCCATCATCTTCAATCAGTACCTAGTAAAGACATGCATAAAGGCAAGGAGATCAGAAATAAAATGTATACTTGGGAATAGCTTTCTTGTCATTTTAATTAATCACATTGAATGGGGCCTCTAAACATAGTGTTACATGCATAAGCCTGAATGTGTGTATTATAATCTTTATAATTTACATATGTATTTAAGTTGTGGTTCCTAGAACTCATTTAGTAATCTCGTCTAATAGGTATGATCTGCAGCTGCTGGTATGGAATTTAATTACCTGGAAAATTCAGTATCTCATTGATGCGGAATTAGAGGGATTACCATCTGTATTACCCATTTTTATCCTTCTTGGAATGTAATTTCTGGCTTGTTAATTTACAAAATAATCATTTTCCTTCTACTTTTTTTAAGCCATTGCTTCATTAGAAAAAATTTAAAGGGATTTCTACCACATCAAGGTAAAAATAATGAATGTAGGTTCTCTTCCAGCAGAATTATCAGTAAGGAATTCATGATTCTTATTAAAGATGTTTTCCATTTATGGAGTCTGGAGTCTTTACAGAATTGCCTTCTCCTTGAAACATACACAAAATCCTGACACTGTAATTTATTTGGCAAAGAAAGACTGTTTAAACAAGCAGCTTGATTTTGTTGATGATCATATATTTATATGTAGCATTAAAGCAGGTATGGGGAAGGAATGATCTTATACAGAATTCTATAATAATCTTGGAAATCACCTATCAGATGAGTAACTTATTTCATCATAGGTCCTCCAGACATACGGTTGATCATTGCATTGAACAGAGTTCTTATCTCTCAAAGTTGTTTTTCTTTACAATGTTGTTAATGTGTAAGTTGTTCTGGTTCTGCTCACTTTACTCTGTGTCAGTTCATAATACCCAGGATTCTCTAAAACAGTC